AGCTAGAGTTAGTTTTTAGATAGATAATAAGAATATTTGTAAGTCATACAATACATATGATAAAGTAAGGTAACTGAAGTATGTACTTCCGAATGGAAATAAATAAAATTGAAAAAAAAACCTTTTCGGTGTCGGGAGTCCCCGAAACGTGTAGTTTCGTTGAAATCACGAAATCGATTTTCTCCAGCATTACATAACTCTCCATATACTACGTAGTTAGTCTATATTACTCCGTATATACGTACGTATACGGGAAAGTATTAAGTATTAGTAGTAGTTTTGAAAATTGCAACAACAACAAAAATGAACTAAATCTTACCTCTTTCTTACCGAATACCGTTGATAAGAATGTCGCTATTAATCCTACAAAGAGTATTTTCTGGTTCATTTTGAAATACGTGTTTGTAGTGTAGAATATTCCATGAGAGTAGCCTGCAACGAAGGCGTGCTATATATCAACGGCCATCGCAGCCATTGTATCAATGACTGTGTGGACCTCTGCTGTATGAACACTGAAAAGAGTCGGGGTCATTGTTAGGAAAATAATGTGGAAGGAAATCCGGACTTGAGGTACGTCATGCTCGGGTGCAAACGGGAATCAATTGCATAAGTAGAGCGATTATCAGGCGAAGTGTTGAAACAAAACTGAAGCAATTTGAATCTAAATAAATACTAAAAATTCGACATTGCATTTTAATTTCTGATTCAAATATACAGCGCGAGAATCTGGCGATAAGTGTTAAAATCCGGAAAATTATATTTGAAATTTATTTCTAAAGAGATATTATGAAGTTTGTTAGAAAAACAGTTATTATGTTTTATCGGCTCAGAAAATCTGTTGCACAGAATTATATGATTTATTTCCCTTTCAAATGACTCCGTATTTATGTTTTATATAATTCATCTCCATCTCGCTCTCAGAAAAATCTTATCATAACTTTAATTATCTGCAATAACTCTATTTACTTGCAATTCAGGGAAGAACAAGAAACACTTTATAATAAATGTAACAATGTTTCTGAATGATTTAATACATTTCATGTGTCCCAGGCAAAACAGTACTGAAGTCTGGGTATAGATTGAAACATTCTGGAGTGTCACTTTTAGCCAATGAAAAAGCATTCCCTCTTTTCTGCAGGTTTTGCTTCTCTACTGGATGCAATGATTTCATCCATCCAAACTAGTGTGGAAGAATATATTTTCTCCTCTAGAAGGGAAGTGATCTAATTTCGTAAGTTAAAGAACCCTAAATCCACACCTCCGTTTGAATGGTTACTATCGTCACAGTTTTCAGAAACTTTTTCGCATCATGTTGTAGTTTATTGCAAAACCACCTCTTCATAGCCTCAGACTAACCGTGTTTAAAAAAGGCATCACTTTAGCAATATAAACTTATGATGTTAGCTTCAGGGAGAAGGAAATCGTGAACTCCGAACGTAAGGTATTGTTGTGAGTTGTAATGAAACTGAAGATAAATTAAAATTACCAAAGTAAGATTCAAAAGAAAACATAAAAGATACTTACACATGCCACAGTCATCTACTTTCAGAAATGACAGAGAAGGTGTACAGACCGCCTTGCACTGGTGTTTTGTATTGTTCGTGTAGGTCGGACTAAAGCCCTTTGATGGGTCAGTTTTTTCGGCCGTAGCTACGAATATCATGTTAACAGATCTGCTGCTGGCTCGAAATATGTGTAGTCTTGATTGCATAAACACATTTTGTTCATAACCTCAAGTCACAGGCACTAATACATACATACATACAATGTTTATGGTCTAGTTTCACTAACACTGTTTTTATGCACATTTGCACTTCAAAGTGAGATTAACAAAATTACATGGAAAGCTACTCGCTTCAAGTTGAATTTAACTCGCGATTGACAAAAGTCCGAGTGTTAAAAAAGTGCTCATAATAAGAAAAAAGGTAGTAAGGCTAGGCTAGTCTTACGCAAGGCTTTATGTGAAAAGACAGCGAGTCTTTCACGCAGTTGGGAGACGACAGCTCACACCCGCGTTAACTGCATTGCGTCTGAACCAGAACTGATTTCGCTTTCAGCGTTGACGGACGCCGCGTGGTTTTCTGCGCAAAGGCGGCAGAGCGGGGATGGCAATTAGCCTTTTACAGATGACACATTTGCGTATGGCCTGAACAAAAGGCAAATAAGTGTCAGAAGTGCTCAAATGTATCCCATCTGCTTCCAGAAGTGCCAGCGAGGGGAAGTAATTTCGTATTTAAAACTGAAAGGCGCAACTTTAAGAATTCCTACTCGGTTTCCCTCTTCTGGTAGGCGAGTGTGAGAAAACGCTCGCTTCTCCGTAGGCCCGCGTAGAGCCCGAGGCCTTTATCTGGAGCAGCGTCAAAGGGCGCCCGATATTGGAGTTCCTGCGTTCGCAGAGCGCTGCGGTTAAAACGCACATCATTCTCCGCACTTCGCTGACGCTTTCTCTCCGATGCGGTGTAACATCCTCGATCTCATTTTGCGACCTCGATTGGATTTTATTCCACCGGGTCGGCCGATGCGTTGGCCGTGTGCCTTGAGCCGCCAATAACAGCACACCAAAGGATCCGCCTTTGAGCTTCGGCGGTTTTCAAAAGAGTTGTTGCGTTTATGTTCGCCTACGTGGAAATTTTATTGCTACTAAAGCTGCCCGCCTCGAGGTAATTTGATCTTTTATCCCTGTTTTGTCGCTGATTGCATTAGTGTGCGGCCTGAAAACAAATAACACCTTTTTGGCGCTTCGGAGAGAAGTTTTATTTATTAGTATGTTGTGCTTCAGAACCAAGAGAGAAAAAGGTTAAGTAGGGTTTTGAGCCAAGCTCCTTTTTTTCAATTCAATGTTTATTTAAGGGTCAATAGCTTTTTGTGGGTCTGAATCTACCAGATTTTTAGTGTATATTTATGAATTGTTATATACAAGGCTTTTAAGAGTAAACGCGTTGTATCTAATATTTGAGAGTCCAGCGCAATGAAATCTGGTTTAACGTGTCAAGAGATCCAGATATAACAACGCAACGAGAGGCAGAAGCTATCCTTACGAATTAATCACTTCCACACATAGCCCATTCTTGAAACAAGGCGTCGTTAGCCGAATTGCTTTACTACGCTCCGGGAAGTCACGCAAGGGAAGCAATTCTAGTCACCGCGAATTTCTGGTCGGGTTACCGCCTGGGAACCCTGAAACTAACATTGCCGAATTCCTGGCCGAAGAAAAAATGACATTAACGGCGGCGAGTCGAGAAAGAGGGCAAAAAGGCAACGGAGGATTACTCCAGAGCTTGTCCCAGCTGGACCAGTGCCTCTTTTGGGGAAACCTCGCTAGCCGACGGTAGGTCGGCGCCTGATCTCACCAATCAGTAAGGGGAAGACGATTGTCATTCCCCGAGAGGGAAAACATGCACTATACGTATGGGCTAAATATCTCAGCAGTTGACCAGGATCACTGACATAGGTGTTGTGGTGCGTTATCGTTGGCATTTCTAATGAAATAATTATATGCGTTGTCATTGCCATCAATAGTATTTATTACAAGAGCAATGGCTAAGCGATCGAAAGCTGCTCGTGTAATAAATACTATTGTTGGCAATGACAACGCATATAAGAAACACTAACAACCAACCAACCATCCAGAGCTTATAAGCTCGATCCTGAAGGAGGGTTTAGGAGTGCAAAAAAAGAGGAAACATTTTTTTTAAAATAACTCAACCTATGGTGCTATTTCAAACGAAGAGCACTAATCTTGCTTTACCTTCTACCATTTCAGATACCATTGTTTACATGTAAACATTTCGTGTGGTGTATATTAAATGTAATAAGAGAAACGGAACTGCGGCTGACATGTGTGCTTGCGCTGTGTTGCAGCCACGGCACGCGCTGCGCAGGTGAAGTGGCGGCCGCTCGAGACAACGGCATTTGCGGCGTGGGCGTCGCTTACGACTCCAAAATTGCAGGTGGGTGCCTCGATGCTCTCTGTTCCAATTCCTCTCATCGACAACTAAGGTCATTAGCGACTTAATACTTGTATATTGAGTTAACAATAATAACATAATATAAACAGATTGTGCATACGTAAAACATGCAGTTTGGATACAATTACAGATTGAATTTGTTAATGTGAAACAAACAAACAAACAAACAGGTTGAGTACATTTCAAGCATACATGCTAAAATCACACAGACAGAAGGTCGAATACAATTAGGTGTTTAAAGCTTTATTCAGTATTGTAGATTGTCTTTGAAGACTCAACTTAGGGCTGTTTTCTGTGATGTGATACATCGTTAAATTAGTGTTGCAGATATCACAAAGTGTATGGGCTGTTTTGGCAAGTAGAGATAACTTAATTTTGTGTATCCTGATCTTATTCTGAACAATGCGACTTGTTCTCTTCGGTTGACCGTCTTATATATTTTAATATAGTTTTTCAATGTTTGTGTTATGCATGACGTCCACAAATAGTCTACCTCCTCTGTATAGTGAATGAATCATTTTGTGTGGAAATGAAACGCACCACCATGTTCCTCATAATTTTAAGGATAAATTATCTAAGGACCGTTTTGGCCCATAGATTCTCGTAGGTTTGTTGTAATTTTCGAATTTTGTCACGGTATAATGTCATCCAAACTGTGCTTCAAGGACTCCAAGACTCAGGAGGTCATTTGCGATCAGCAAGTACGCTGCAATTCTGAAAGAGATGGCGGCGTCCGGCGCGATGCAGTGCTCCAACAATATGCTGATCCTGTCAATCTACAAAGTTTACTTTTCGTCGTTTGCATCCAAATGGTAGAAAAGAAGATTTTTTCGCAATATTGTGAAACATTCTCAGCTCTTCCACTCAATTCGTACAAGACCTAGCAAAACCGTGTTAGTTGCTGGCCATACCAGGAAGATACGAATGTCGACGACGGTATCATCCTCACGATGGCTCGAATTTTAATTCCTTTTGCTGCCCGGTTTTGAATTCCTATGGCAGGAACCATATTGCAGATTTGGAAATGTAGGTTCCTTTAAGGAGTATGAATTCTGGATTGAAATTTGGGCTTCAATGTGGGAGAATCTGGAAGCTTGGAAAAATACTGTTAGTAGTAACATTTGGCAGTTGGATTGTATGATTTTTAGGACTGTAAGCGAACTAGTTCAATATATAATCAAAATCTTATGGCTACAAAACCTTATGTTTAATACAATTTCTGTTTAATGCTATGGCCTTATGCCACCTTAAAGTGAGGGCCTGTAGTTCTTCATGGTACCATTCTACTGTTGTATGTTGGAGCCAGCGTCGTGCTTCATCAATATCTTCCCCATCCTTCACGCTGTGCTTCCCGCGGAGTTCATTGTTCATTACACCAAACAGATGAAAATGGGGAGGTGCGAGGTTCGGGCTGTGGGGTGGAAGAGGAAGAACAGCCTACTGAAGGTTTGTGTGCGCAGTCAGGTGTGAGGCTTTGTCAGGCGGGCCTTGACTTGCGTTGTCATGCAAAAGGACGTCGTTTGCATTTTGTGGCTACTCAATTCCCATAGAGTAGAAGAATACACTTCAGAGCTGTTCGTGCCACCATGAGCAATGCTATCGAACAGAGTTCCAGAAGGGTGGAGCCATCACTTTACCAGCTGAGGGTAGTACGCACTTCCTCGAACGAGAGTGGGTGTGGCGCAGCTGCATTGACTGCAATTTTGATTTGGGTGATGAACCCATGCCTGAGGCAATGTTGTGACAAACAATTGTCGTGATCAGCCTCATAACGAGCAAGCAATTTTGCACAGATGCACTTTCAGAGGCCCATTTTGTGGTCAAAATTAATAACTGTCAATTGTGAAGAATGTGCAAATGAATCGTACGCTTTATAAGCACAAAACCACACACAATTCGGGAGGAAAAGTATAAACATTGATATTGCTAACATTTCGCGTATAGACCATATGCTGAATGACATCTTATAAAACACTGTTCGTTTCGTTCTGAGTCCCCAAACATTTTGTAAAGGAAGTAACGCAACTATGGTGTTTGTAATTACTATATCTGTGTAAATAGTCTACATGTAGATTTACAAACGCAACTTTTCTAGTAGTGGGGGCAGATACTAAATTATATTGTATATTGTTGCTTTCTTAAATTATTTAACCCTCAATGAGTGAACATATTTTGCTTCACAAGTAGCACACTGGGGTATCACATCCTATAAGGTAGTACACAACTTAGAGGTATCTAAATGACTTAAATATTTTTATTTTACATACCTAATGTATAATTTAATTCACAAACATACATTTTTCTGAACATATTGTTCACTCGTTTTTATTACTAACTTCATTTAGGTTCAGTACATTACGCGCGATCTGTGCTCATCGCAAACTCGATTTTTCTAAGTTTAAGTTCCATGTAAAATTGTTTCCCCTGCACAACCGTTTTTATACAATTAGAGACTATACCGAGCATCCAAAAGGAAAGTAATAACAACGACATTTATTGTATTATTTACCATTTGGATTGTACATTCTAAAGAACCTGTCGCAAGTATTGTACTTCAGCTTCTTGGTTAATGATCTCCATCTCGATCAGGTATTCGTCCACTTTCCCTGTTCCTTGAGCAAATGCTACGATGACCCCTTGTTTTGCTTCTGGACATAATTGTAACTTCAAATTAACTTCTCCCCATAGCGCGTCATGCACAGTTTTTAACTGTTTTTGACGTAAATAGATAAAAAATCTAACTAAAGAAAACCGATATTACATATTAACCAGTGTATTAATATTTCAAAACATTTATACGAATTTACATCTCCATAAAAATGTTGTAAAATAAATGGTGGTATAGAATGCGAGAGCTTCAATTTAAAAATACTTACGCAAATGGCTCAGTAGGGTGAGCGACACCACGAATCCACTTCAAAATAACAGGAAGTGACAAACGTAACACATATTAACAGTGGAATGTTTGTATTAAAATTGTTTTCTGAAATGAGGGCAGGGCTTCGTTAGGTATGTAAAAAACCTTTTTCTTCTTCTAAAAAAGCATTATCCCACTTTTATTGATCTGTTTTTTGGTCTATATTCTTTTAAAAGTACTGTTTCCTTGCTTTCTTTCATGATGTGCCACTTGCACATTAAAAGCAGACTGGTGCTGCATTTGGTGGATCTACTGCGAAGCCATCCGTCCTTTTCTCTTTATTTATTTATTTTTACAAAACGGAAGATGATGTTCACAAGACGACGAAAAATATAGCATTGATTCTATGTTGATGATGAAGTCGACCTTGAGCCAAGACAATTTGTTAACGATATATTCTAGATAACGATAATTTTTAATAAACTTCCTTCAAAATGTTGACATAAACGGCAAATTTTATACATAATTTCTCTTCATTACTTCATTTCTACATTATTAATTTAAAAAATTGTGGATTAGCAGTCATGATTAGCAATTTCAATCACCATTACGAACTGCAGGCCAAAAATCAAATAAACATTAATTTCTCAAACGGTGCATATCTAAAGGAAAATAATTTTTCAAGACTTGCACGCTTTGTTGCTGCTGGAACATGACAGCTGTTGTTGTAACATGACTTATAATAAATTAATAATAGAATAGTCTGTGGTAAAACCCCAACAAACGTCAATGTTTTAAAAGTCAGTTCAAAATTTTAGGTTATCGGTAACAGAACAAAAATTCACAGCAATATAATACAACGAAGCTATTTTTACGGACTATGAATTGAATTGCGCATTAAAACTCCTTTTTAGTAAATACTTAGTAAATCCCTCATTTCTGGAGGACAGCAAGTTGACCGACTTCAAGGAGGATCGAAGAAACACGCAGCACATCCCACATTTGAATTTCTCCTCGGCTCGACGGCTCGTTGTTTGGCGCGAGGGCGGACGGGAAGCGCGGAAGTCACAAGAACGCCTCGCAGCAGCGAAGCCAACATTCAAGAAAATCGGTGCAAGGCACTGACCTCTGACGTGTATACTTCACCGTACGGTGCACAGAGAGTTCGCGTCAAACGCGAAATTCCTCATTTCAAGAACACTGAGAAAAAGTCTTCCAATTCATCTGATTTCAAATATTTTTATTTATTGAAGCCGTTGATTTATAAATACTTTTCATATAAATATGCACTAAACGTTGTTTCTATCCCCTAGGAACAATACTCCGCCGCTAATGCGTGTCTTAGATTTCCGCGTTTGACTCATTTTTGAAAATTGAAAAATTGCGGAGAATCGGGTCTCGGAAAGTAAACTGAGATGGTTCTTTGCTCTTTATGGTCTCCAGGTAGGTATCAACGAAACAAGTGGGATCAAACTTTTGACTATTTTAACTAGTGAACAATATTGTGTCCGTACTACCAACTCAGTATTTGTGTTGACCTCTATTCCGCCAAAAGAAACACAATAACTGCTCTTTGTTTGCAACACACCTTCGTTACAGACGCCATTTGACGGCTATGATTAGCTCTGCTACCTACCAGAACTTAATGAAACTGTATGAGACGAAGCGAGAATATTTAAAGATAGCTCAAACAAAAATTTCTAACTTTTTCAACCAATGACCGAGAAAAAATATGTGTTGCATTGATATCGAACTCCACATTTTGAATATGCCTGAATGCAATGAATTCGTTCAGAATTTCCCCCAGACCAGAATTTACATTTTGTTATTCTCACGAAAAATGAAAATTGCGTGTCTTCTGCCTTGGAGTCCGGTTTCATTAAAATCGTCCCATTCGCTGCAGCCGAGGGGTGGCGAGTGGCGCGGCAGGTGGGTCACGGGTGCGTTAGCCTGATTGAGCGACCACGCCGAAAGCCACTGCTGTCAATTAGCCCCCCCCCCTTGCCCGCCTGCGGGACGGCACCTTACTCTCGCTAACGAGCGGCGAGCACTCAGCGAGCGAGTGCTGTTAGCAGCCGCCGCTCTGTTCGATCGGTTTTACAGTTTTTTAAATTCGGTTTATTGA